CTGCCCGGGGGGCTTGGGAGGGACCCCCAGCCCGTGTGCCCCACACTCAGCTGGCAGGGAGAGAGCCAAGGGACAGGGCCACGGGCAGGGCAGAGCTGCCCAGGGCCGGGGTCAGCTGGGGGTATTGGTACCAGCCAGTGCTGGGGCCAAGCAGAGCACGAGGCCTCTTGCAGAGCCCTGGAGCAGCCTCCCACTTGCCAGCCCTGCCCTGTTGGGGTGACACTGTCCCCTCCCTACAGGACACTGCCCCAGAAATTTTTGGAGGGGCTTTTTTGTCTATTCCTGGTTGCTGATTGATGTTGGGGACCTGATGGACCCTCTGCAATCCCATCCCTGGGGCACAATCTCCTCTCCAGAGCTTGACTTCTTGCAGCCTTTGCAGGGAAATCTGTGCTGGCAGCTGCATCCTGAGCCCGAGGGCAGTTTGTATTCCCGAGTGCTGATCCATCCTGGGGACCCAAGGGATCCTCTGCCATTCCATCCATGCAGCAGGAGTCACCCTCCTGCCCTTGACTCCCTGCAGAGGAACAAGTGCCATCTCTCTGTTTGGGAGAAGCCAGATGCTGCCCCTGGGCCATCAGAAGTGGTGCTGAAGCCTCTTTCAGCCCAGCCCTGGGTGCAGTTTTCTCATCCCCTCAGCGAGTGCCCGCTCCCCCAGCCGGCACTGACCAACCAGGGTGTTTGGCACACGTGGTTTGGTGGTTTGGAGAAACAGCCTCGGACTGGCAGGGGGCCAGAGAACCTCTAGGAACAGCCCTGGCGAGGTGCCTGCACTGGCAGGGGGTCAGGGGATCGCTGCTCCACGAACCGGCTGGAGCTCTGGGTGAGCCTGAGCTGAAGGGCCTGTGACCTGTGGATGAGTCCAGGATGGAGCAGAGACCCCTCTGCAGCCTGGGAGGAGCCCACACCGGAGCAGGGGATGCCCAAAGGAGGTTGAGAGCCCATGGGAAGCCCCTGCAGAGCTGAGGGAGCAAAGCCCTGGTTTCCAGGGCTGCCCCCCCACCCCAGTTTGGTTTTGGGAAAGTTTTTTTGGTCTAATCTTCATATTTTGGAGTATTTTGTAGCCGAATCTCAACTTTTTGCAGTTTGAGGGGGCAAGGGTCTTTCTGCTTTTTTTGAGGGGTTTTTACCTGAATGTCGATGGTTTGGGTTTTTCTGGGCTGAATCTTGGTGTTTTGGAGGTTTTTATGGTCACAGGATGCCCGGTGAGTTCTAGACATGGACTTGGGCAGGAGGAACCCTCAAGCCAACATGCTCAGCCCTTGTTTTTCTCCCCATCAGGATTTGTCCTTCCCAAAGCTTGGCGGATGGAGGAGGAGGCTGCGAGGAAGAGGAAGATGCCTTGGGCCCCCCAGGCAGGTGAGGAGGAAGTCAGTGGCCCTTTGTTTTGGTGTTGTGCTGGCTCTGGCAGCCGAGCATGGCCCCCGGCTGCAGGACAACCCCGCTGCCGCCGCCGTCCTGCCGGGGCCGGAGTTGGGGGGATGTCCTTGGCCTTCCCTGTGGGCCGGAGGCAAATCCCCTCCCTGTCCTTCTTGCTTCCTGCCCCAGGCCCCGAGCTGAGGACGGAGAGCCCGGAGGACAAATCCCCCCGGCAGACCCTGGTGGGAGAGGCCGTTTTGAAGGGCTCCACGGCACAGGAAGGCAACAGGGAGGAAAAGGGCCGGAGATCCCCCCACAGGAGGGGCTCCAAAGCCAGCCCAGGGTGCTCTGAGGAGGAAAGACCCAGCCTGTGCCAGGAAAGCAGCTGGAGCTTGAGGGGGAGCTTGGACCTGGTGGTCCCTGAGCAGCCTCCCAGCAGGCAGAAGCCCTTCAGGTGCTTGGAATGTGGGAAGAGCTTCAGGAAGAGCACCAACCTCCTCAGCCACCAGCACATCCACACTGGGGAACGGCCGTACACGTGTGGGGAATGTGGGAAGAGCTTCAGGACCAACTCCACCCTGATCCAGCACCGTCGCATCCACACTGGGGAACGGCCCTATTCGTGTGGCGAATGTGGGAAGAGCTTCAGGCAGAGCTCCCACCTGATCCAACACCAGCAAATCCACACTGGGAAACGACCCGGGAAAGGGGTGGGAGAGGAGGGCTATAGGGAGGGGGGAGAGCAGGAGGGGTGTTGCCATGGCGGCCGGAGCTCGAGCCATAGCTCCAAGCTGGTGGTCCCTGAGCAGCCTCCCAGCAGGCAAAAACCCTTTAGGTGCTTGGAATGTGAGAAGAGCTTCAGGACAAGCTCCCACCTGATCCGACACCAGCACATACACACCAGAGAATGGCCCTACACGTACAGGGAATGTGGAAAAAGCTTCAGTAACAGCTCCAACCTTCTCACCCACCAGCACATCCACAGTGGAGAACAGCTCTACATATGTGGGGAATGTGGGAAGAGCTTCAACCGAAACTCCAAGCTGATCCGACACCAGCGCATCCACACTGGGGAACGTCCCTACATGTGTGGGGAATGTGGGAAGAGCTTCAGTGACAGCTCCACCCTCCGCACCCACCAGTACATACACACTGGGGAACGGCCCTACACGTGTGGGGAATGTGGCGAGGGCTTCAAGAAAAGCTCCAATCTGATCCAACACCAGGCCATCCACACTGGGGAACGTCGCTACACGTGTGGGGAATGTGGGAAGAGCTTCAGGGACAGCTCCACCCTCCGCACCCACCAGTACCTACACACTGGGGAACGGCCCTATACATGCGGGCAATGTGGGAAGAGCTTCACGAAGAGCTCTCACCTCCTCATCCACCAGCGCATCCACACTGGGGAACGGCCCTACAAGTGCTTGGAATGTGGGAAGAGGTTTCAGCAAAGCGCACATCTCCTCCTGCATGAGCGGACACACACGGATGAGAGGCCCTTCCGCTGCACCGACTGCGGGAAGGGCTTCAAGCACAACTCCGCCCTCGTCAGGCACCGGCGCATCCACACCGGGGAGAGGCCCTACAAGTGTGGGGAGTGTGGGAAGAGCTTCACCCGCAGCTCTTACTTGACCTCACACCAACAGACCCACAAGTAAGGGAAAGCCCTACGAGTGCCCCAACTGCGGAAGAGCCTCGGCTGCTGCTTCCACCCCGAATGAAGCCCCTGATGGTGAGGCAACCCCTGGAGTCCAGTGACTGTCAGTCCATCCCTTTCGACCACAAAGGGCCAGTCCCCTTTCCCAGGAGCAGATTCTTCCAACAGAACCCTTCTTGGGGGTGTGTGTGGAGATTCCTGCCTTGGCTGAGAAGCCCCCCCAAGGGCAGTTCTGGAGGTTGAGAGCAGAGATCTCCCCAGGAGCTTTGGTCTGGGGGAGTTCCATCCATCTTTAATTAAGAATTAGTGCTTTTGTGCCAGCTTGAGTAGAATTGCTTCAAGAATTGCTTTAGTGTAGAGCACTGTCCTATCTTATGCTGTACTGCTGGTAGTTTTAGTGTGTATACTGTACAATAAATGTGATGAAGATCTTTTGTCTGATCATTTGTAACCCTAAATAATTCATTTCTATCAATAGATCTAATTTGCCATCATTAAAACCTGGGGGACAAAAGTGGTTAAGTCACACCTCTTTAATTCCTCTTAACTGAAACTGTTGGTATAATGCAAGGCTGAGATTGGATCCAGCAGCCTCCAGCATCCCACAGTAAGGTTGGAGCTCAGGGAGCCACCCCCTTTTGCCAATCCCCCTGTGCCCAAAGACCCCCATGGGACCATCAGACCTGCCAGACCACCCTCTCTTTTCCACCCTTCTCCCAGTTCCTCTCACTTTCCCATTGTCCCATCAATCCCCATTTTCGTCCCTCGAACAGTTTTGGGGTCCCAACCCCCACTTTTTGCCCCCTCTCCTGTGGGCACTGAAGGAGAAAAGGAGGCTGCACACACAGAGTTCCATTGCAGGACTTGTCCGCCCATCCTTCCGGCATCCCCCTTTCATTGGGGTTCCTTTGGAAACAGTGCCTGGGGTTTGCCTTTTAGTCCACGAGAATTCCCAGCATTGCCCCAGAGCAGTGCCCTGATCCCACACATTCCCCTCCCCTCATGTGCTGGCTGTGTTCAGCCACCAGAGAAAAACACAGGCTCCCATGCAGAGCGTTCCAAGTGGTTTCCACTTTGGCAAACAGCACTCTCTGGATGGAAAACACCAGTCAAGGCCAAAACACTCCTTGTTGATCCTGATTACCTGAATGCAGCTGCTGCTGCCTTAACTTCTTCCCACAAAACTTCTCAGGGTTCCTTTGCTTCCAGGAGGCCCCACATGTCACAATGGCCCCTTGATTCCATGAGCTTCCACAGTGTCCAAAGGTTCCTTTAGTTCCATGAGGCCCTGCAGTCCCCAAATGCCCTTTGGATTCTCGGAGATTTCCCACTGTCCCAGATTCCCTTGTGCTTCAGAAGTAGCTGCAGTGGGACAGTGGCCCCTTGGTTCCATGAGCTCTGCAGTGTTCCAGGAATCCTTGGGTTCCAGGAGAGCCTGCAGTTTCACAAGGACCACTTGAATGCAGGAGGTTCTGCAGGGTTCCAATGGCCCCTGGATTCTGGGAGGTTCAGAAATATGTCGGGGCTGAGAAAATTTGGATTGTTGAGGCTGGAGAAGAGAAGGCTTTGGGGTGATCTAATTGTGGCCTTGCAGTGCCTGAAGGGAACCAACAAGAAAGATGGAGAGAGACTTTGGACAAGGGCCTGGAGGGACAGGACGAGGGACAGTGGCTTCACACGGACAGAGGGAAGGTTCCAGGAGACAGTAGCAAGGAATTCTTGACTCTGAGGGTGCTGAGATGCTCTTTAAGGCCCCTCCCAAGCCAAACATTCCATGATTGTGGGACTGGTGGGTGAGGTGGTGGTCGGAGCCATCTGGGGCACAGGGACCCAAAATGAGGGAGTTTTCCATTGTGGGGGAAGGAAGGAGGGGGCAGCAGAACTGACCCCTTGGACACCTGGCAGGCAGGCTTTGGCTGGAAGCTGCTGATGGGGAGCTGAGTGAAGCCCCCACAATGCAGGAGGAAATGGTCAGTGACCTGCTCTGCCAGTGAGACCCCCACAAGTGCCTGTGCCCACATGGGATGCAGCCAAGAGTCCTGAGGGAGCTGGAGAAAGAGCTGGCCAAGCCACTCTCACTCCTTCCCCAGCAGTGCTGCACAACTGCACAAGTCCCAGCTGACTGGCAACAAGCCAATGGGATGCCCATGCACAGGAAGGGCCAAAAGGAGGATGTGGGCAACTCCTGGCCTGTCCCATTGACCTCAGGACCAGGGAAGGCCATGGAGCAGGTTGTGGGCTCACAAGGTGACTGGCTTTAGTAATCTGCTGAATTTCTATCCTCATGTCAGTAATGACTGGAGTTTTCAAAATATTTGGGAATTGTATCCAAACTGTTCCATTTGGGCTACAGTTCAGGTAGGGAAGCAATTGTCTCAAAGCCAGCAAAAAGAAACAATCCTGAAGCAGAGATTGAGGTAACTCACCCCACAACCACAGGGGGTAGTTCTCTCTCTTTCACTTAACCCCTGGGGAGTGACCATGAAGAGCTGTCCCTGCTTCATGCCAGAAGCTCCACACACTTCAAGGAAGTCTGTGGAAGAATCTGACACATGAAAGTTGGGTGGGGCTTTTACAGTTATCAAGGGTTTGACTGCCAGACATATTTGCAGGCCAGGGAGCAGCTTCTCTGTCAAATCCTGCTTCAAAAAGCAGGATGTGTGTTTGAAGTTTCAGGAAGCATTTTGGGTTTAGCATAATTAAACATTAAACACAGCACCTTGGCACCAGCAGTAACTCACCACAGAGAGTGTGCATTGTTTGCATTCTCTGACCATTTTTCAGGTATTATCAGAGCAGAGCATCCTGCCAGAAATGGCCCCTTGATTCCATGAGGTTCCAAAACCTCTCAGGGTTCCTTTGGTTCCATGAGGCCCTGCAGTGTCACAATGGACCTTTTGTTCCATGAGGTTCCACAGTGTCTCTTGGATCCTTTGGTTCCTTTAGGCCCCGCAGCGTCACACTGGCCACTTGATCCCAGGATGTTCCAAAACATCCCAGGG